GAGCCCCTCCAGAAAGCCACCTCTGCTTGATAACATTTTCTCATTTACATATTATGTTTTGAGATTTCTAGCATTTAGGCAATTTTAATTCATTGATTTTAGTATTATTTTGGCTTTTTAAAATCAAAATATCATGAAGTCAAGTACCTTACAAACAACTATTAAATCAACACCTTATCAATTAAATGTGTTACTTCATCCAAAATTATATTGAATTAATTTGAAAAGTTCTATTTGTCATGCTGATAGTTTTTACATTGCCATTTTGTTTATAGGCAGGATCTATAATAAGTGCCACCTTGTTTCTTTGTATTAGTTGTTCATCTTTGAAAAGATTGTTAAGAATTTTCTATCATTGCTTCCCATATTAAACCAAAAGGACCTCTATATTCTCTACAAGAATACAGACCTTCAGAAGTACAATATAGAGTTCAACTAAAGGACATGAGTCTCACCTTAACATTGACTTGCCCAATTATACTTTCAGGCTCCCAATTTTTGTAAATGATTTGATTACTAAAAGTGTAGAAGTGGTATATGGTACACATGCCTTTTCTTGCTGTTTGGATCGCATCTCTCCTTCTAGGGCACAGATTTGCTGTTCTGTTCTGACAGTAATCCCTTGGGAAAAGTATCGCAGAGTTATTGGGTGGGGATCAAGCTATCATACCCCAAGTCTCTGTGGTGCAGCTGCCATCAGTGGTGAGGGAGGTGAAGAAGAGGAATCTCTTATTTTTTGTTTTGCCAGCAATGCAGATGAATTATTACAAGAGTGTGTCACGCTGCATGTTGGTCTTGTTTTCCATGTTATCCTCTTATATTTATTACTGTTCTGTTTTTACTTTTACAGAGCAGACTCCCTTAATTGTACTTACAGTAGATCTTCCAAAGCATAATATTTAAAGATCAGTGTTTGCATTGATTTATAAAACTGCACTTTGACTTGACATTGTTACATTTCAAGGCTTATTTTTTCTAATTACAGCTGAAAGGAAGTTTTGGATCTGTATCACTTAATGACGGAGCTAGAACCCCAAGGACAACAGATTTCATGTTATTTTCTCTGCTTGGATTAAGCAGTCAGCTTTTTTCCCCCTAATTAATTACTTTTTATTTGAGAACTCTTGAGGATATAACAGTTTGCCATCTAAAACAGCATGCCATCCTGAGTAGATTTCATATATATGAATTTGTCAATGGTTGATGTAAACACCAGCAAGTCAAGTAAAATAAACACTTAATCTCAAATAATTTCTTAAGGCATAACAGGCAGTTCCTGGCACTTTATTATATATAAGCTATATAATTTACATCTAAGAAGCAGATACAATGATCTATCACTGTAATAAGTAGGTGTATTTTCATTTCAGCAGCCTATTCCCAGCAATTTGACATCTGTATCCTATTTTCACCTATTCTCAGTACTGCCTCTCATGATCCTGGCTGTTTTATATTTTGAACCTGTGCCAACATCTGTTTTCCACAGCACGCAAGCTGAAAAAGCTGGGCAACCTGAAAGTACAAGAGGATGGGGAGGCAGCCAGCTCATCGAGCCCTATGGAGGAGCAAGCTCCCAAGATGATGATGACACGCATGGATGGGTACGATTGCCAGCCCATCTTCCTCAATGTTCTGGAAGCCATTGAGCCTGGTGTGGTGTGTTCAGGCCATGACAACACCCAGCCAGACTCCTTCTCCAACCTCCTGACCAGCCTGAATGAGCTTGGGGAGAGGCAGCTTGTGCATGTGGTGAAATGGGCAAAGGCCTTGCCAGGTAAGGCAGCACATGATGCATCACAACACCTTCCCCCACACTCTAAAAAACCCTCTTGTGCAGATCATCCCAGGGATACATTTCAGAGGGAGTGTCCTGTAACACGGGCCCCCATATCACAAGATTCATGTGGATACCTTTGCAGAAGGGTCTCCTCTGTAAGCAGAAATCACACGCAAAAGGAGTGAGGGTAACTGTCATCACCAGAGGGGTTTCCATCTAGTGGCCATGTAAGAGAAATGAGTGCTGCAGCTTCCAGCAAGGAAAGTAGAAGCTTGTGCTTTTAGAATTTTCATTTGGTTTCATTCCCTGTTGATGACCCGTGGCAGGTGGTTGTCTTATAAGTATGTTCTTTTTTTTTTCTTGTACATTTAAATCCCTGCTGCAAATCTGAGTATTAGGCTCTAAGTATCTGAATGTTTCCTGGACCACCAGAGATGACTTGCTGTGAAGAGAGGAGGCCATTCTGTTCCTCTCTCTGCAGTGATCTTTCTGCTTCTGGAGCTTCTAAACTGCTCCTTAAATGAAAGATCAGCACCATAGACAACATAAGTCCTATGAGAGAGGAAGGAGTAAATCCTCTGGGTAGAAGGAATGAAAACAGCGCCACTTGAGGAGGTAGCTTGGGGAAGAGAAGGTCTGATGAAACCAGGCTAAAGACAGTTGAGAAATAAGATGCATTGGCAGGAAGGGTCCTGTTCCTCCCAGCCTGTTTTGCCTGAACCTCAAAGTGCTGAAATTCCATATATTATAATTCATTCAGGAAATCTAACTACAGATATCTCTGTCACACACAACTACACAAAAGCAATCATGCTCTGAACTGCAAGGCCAAACATCCTTAGAGTTTGGATTACTTGGTATAATAAGTTAATAACATCATTAGATAAATATCATAAGTAGCATAGTAGATTAGTGTAGTTAGCAGATTAGCACTGTTTTATAGTTTAGAATGTACTGCAAGAAAGAGCAACAGAAGATAATCAGGTTTCAGAAATGGTTATCCTGGGGCAAGCATGAGGCAAAACCTGAATTCCAGACATATGCTCCAACTTCTTTAATCCTCTAGCTTCCACAGATGCCTCTTGCCCTCATTTCACTTGTAAAGTTCATAATTGTCAGAAGCCTAACAATCAGAGATTGTATTCCATTGTGCCTTTTGCAAAGGGACCAACTGATTACAATACCTAGCAAATACAGTAGCAAACCTATAAAGAGCATTGTGCTCAAAATAGGTTTAAAATAACAGGTTTAAATCTTAATATGTTTTCTCCCTAAAAGTAGCTGGGCCAGTCATTGTGACGTGGTTTCACACAACAGACTTTACATTTTCTGTGGAGGGTTTCTGTTTGTTTGGGGTTTTTTAGTTTGTTGAATAGGAAGTTTGAATTTGAGGTCTGGCTGTAATTTTTCCTGGACAGCTGTTCTTCAGTGTTGACAGAAAACGGGTATGTAATATGTATACAGCACTTGAAAGAAAGGTATGTCTGAGGGCCTTGCTTCTTTTATCTTGTTTTCTGAAGCTGGTTATACTAGGTCTTGGATAGTTTTAACTGTGTTTTTCCCATGATAATGGAAGGTTGGTATGTTGTGGATACAAACCATTTGGGCCTTGACAAACCTCAGATGCCTTCTCTTTTCTATCAGGAACTACATTTTTGGTCAGATTTTATCACATAACCAAGAATATTTAACTTAGGATCTTTCTGCACAAAACAAAGATAAAAACAAACCTGCAGCAGCAAGGAAATGACAAGTTGGGCCTCAGCAGTACATACCCAGAGCAGTACTACTCTATTCATTACTACAAACCATCTGCCATAATTGCAGTGCTGCCTTTTAAGAAGGCTGCCATTCCATCACTCCTTCCACTATCTTTCTGTACCCAAGCTTTTATTCAACTGATTTTTCTGCACAACCAGCTAGTTCAGGGGAAATCATCTCCAGGATGGTGGAAATGACATAAAGTTAAGGTTATGGTGCATGTTCTATGGTGAATGATACGCTTTTTGGGGTAAAGGGCTGTCAATGAGTTTTATGTCTGGACAAGAACAATATATGCTAAATAATTAACATTAACATTACTAACAACAATAATTAACATTACTATAAATATTAAATATATTAAAATAAACAGTAACGGCAAAGTATGGCCTATGAGGAAAGGAGTAGAGGGTAGCTTTTTATTTCTAGGCGGCCTGCCTTTTCAGTTCCTAGTTGCTATGTGTCTGAATCAGGTACATCAGGTATATATTGCTTTACATAGAGATTTTGTGTGTTAATAATCAGCTATCTGGGAGAGAGAGAATGGGCAGCTGAATATCTAATTTCATTTAACAGGAAGCTGGAAGGCAAAGGAGTTGTGAGTAGGAGTTCCTTGTATAAGCTAATTTGCCAATTCTCTTCTCTTGAGAGCTCTTTCCTTCCCTGTATAGAGGTATGGAGACCTCACCTCAATCCTGCACTCTTACTCCCCACTTGATCAACTCTTTATCCTTTTCGTCTATTTTTCTGAAAGAAGAAAAGAGAAAATAGTAAAGCCTAATGCTTGGGGTACTCTTTTCTATAGTGCCAATAAGTGTTGTATGGAGACACAGGGTGGATGACAAAATGACTCATAGTTGTAGCTTAACACTGTAGTAGTAGTTGTAGTGCCCCTGAGAGCAGGGGTGCTCCCCTGGACAGTTTGGAGTTGCTGACTTAGGAACTCACCCTTTACTGGGCTTCCCAGAATCAGCCCCTGATCTTCCCAACTTGATAAAGGGAACATGTCTGTTTGCTTGCCTGTGGCCTCTTCTCTCAGCCTACCTGCACCTGCCTCTACCTGACTCATGCCCACCCTGAGTAGGGATGATAGATTTTGTCTCGCAGCAGATCTTGTCCCGTTATGTTTATTCTTCTAGTCTGCATGTCCAGCTTCTTCAGTCCCCAGCCTGCTCTTTCCCATGCTCTAGCTCTCTTACGTACACCAATAAAATCTCTTCCATCTCTCTCCTCTTATAGTTTGTGCAACAAATGCTAGGATCCCAGTCCTTCCTTAGGTCTAGCAGTGATTGTATTTCTTCTTATCCTCACTAGCTCTGTAGACATTCTAACTTCTCCTGGCCCCTTTGTACCCTTTTATCTGTGTTTATATTTACCCTGGAATTTAGCCCAGGGACAGGGATCCTTGGCCTTAGCTAACCCAGCCACCAACACCATGGTAGATGATGTTCTCCCCAGGGCCAGCTGAAAAAGTCCATATCCAGGGACTGTGTGCACCTTTAGCTCTACTCATTCCCTCTTGGGTCTTGAAGCTTCCTTTAAACGCTCATTGGATTTAAAGCCTCATTGGATGTTTTATCCCAAGCCATTCTCTGTCTTTTTTTTCAGAGGACAAAGAAACTGTGATTCTTAGTTATACATTGCCCCATCTCCCCAGCTGTCTCTACTACGGACACTAAAAGTTATCATAGAAGAGTAGGGCTAGAAGGGACCTTGGGAGATCTAGTCCAACCCTCTGTTCAAGACAGGATCATCCCTATCTAAACCATTGTAGTCAAATGCCTGTCTACTTTTCATTCCATCCAGGAAGAGCACACACCAACTGCTGAAACTTTCTTAGCCTGACGAAGGGTTTTTGAACCCGAAAGCTTGCTTAATAACTATTCTCCAACTATTTGGGTTGGTCTAATAAAAGATATCAAATTCACCCAAGGAAACCTGTCTGCCTACGTCTATTCTAAACAAACATGTATGAACAACCCATATGTGAAACTACCAGGCATAATGCTTGAAAAACATCAAAAACATCCTAATTTGCCACAGTTAAAACAGGGGGACAAAGGCACTGTCAAGGTCCTGCCACTGCAATGTGTTTTTTTTCTGTCTTTTTAAAGAGCACTCAAGAGATCCAAGGAACAGGACCATATTCCCTGCTACAGAGGAAGGCAAAAACCCACACACTCATGCCAATCTGATCCTGAAGTCAAATTCCTTCCTGATCCTAAATGTGGTGATCACTCTGCCCTTGAGCAGTGAAACATCAGCACACCCCAGCCAAAATTATCTGTATCCACATTGCCCCACTTACTCTGGCTTCCTCACTTGGTCCCATTGCTTAGAAAGCTGGCATAGTGTTGTTGTCCTTCTTATAAGATCATGAAGTGATATTTCTTGTGACAGTTTACTGGGTTTTTGTGACCTGCGCCTCTCAGGTGGAACTAAGAAAGGTCATCCCTTAGCCCTTGGAATCTGAAATGGTCCATTCTCCTCAGTTGGGGTGCCCACATCTGCTCCACACTTGATGCCTTCCCCACAGCAGGAAAAAGGGTTTGAGAGCTCCGTTTCTTCATTCAGAAACAACCTGGCCAATTCCACCTCATTCTGTATATGCAGCATCTCTTCAGGTGGCTATTTCATTGGTAATTGTGCATGGACACCTGAAACATCTTTCCCCTGTCCGTTCCTCAGTCCTCCAGTTCAACAGATTTCCTATGTTCTGTAGATTTCCAGGAAGCTTATTTTCTTCTCTCTTCTGTGTTCCTCAGAGGTATCTATCACCGCTGTGTGTCTGACAGTTGTGTGGTCCTTAAAAACAGAATGCTGGCTTAATAGTTGTTGAAGGCAACATGTTAAAGTCAGCCTTCCTTGGGTATTGCTTGCTACAACAACCTCATTTAGCATCTGTAGGATGGACAAAGAGGAATATGACAAAGAAAAAAGCCTGAGTTCTTTTCTGCCAAAACATTCCTATATATTGTTATATGCTGCTTTCTGGGTGGGGTTTGTTTTGTTTTTTCTGCTTTGAAAATATTTTAAAAAGAAGGCTTTGCCTTCTGCAATGCTGGTAGATGAAAAAATATTACCAATATATATGATGGGAAAAGAGACAAGGAGTTACTTGTAAATAGGCATCCTGGTTCTCTGTAACAGTTCTCTGCGTAACTTTTAGGCAGAGAAACAAAAAGCTTACTAAGGACAAACTGCCGTTGATTGTGTGAACAAGAATTTTTCTTTTA